AACTATCTTATTTGAAAAGCTACTTAAAGTAGCTTATGAAATAAGCTCGAGCTTTTTAAAAAAGCTCGTCCTACCAAACGAGACTTATTTTAAACAGGGAGTTTATAAGCTAATCAAATAAGCTATAAACTAGCTTATTTGGCTTACCAAACATACCCTAAATTTCTTTGTTCTTATCTGGTAAAATTCTTAGTGGTTTGCTTTTAGCCCTAACTGTGGCAATTTCAATAGTTGTGATCAGTTTTACTCTTACCCTAATTTAGAAGGGTTATACATGAATTTTTTAGTAAATTATTGCAGATATTATTTTTTTTTTCCTTTTTATCAAGATTGCAGTTATAAGAACTGGTGATCTAGCATTCATGCTGTACAAATATTGATGATCAATCCAACCATACTTGAATAGTCTTTGTGGTCAATACAGGGGCGGAGCCAGCCTCATCATTCACCGGGGTCAGCAATATTTTTTAGTGGGGTCATTAACCTAGTAAACAGTGTTTGAACAGTATTTTATACTAAAATTTTTGAAATCTATAAGGGTCAGCTGACCCCAGCGGCAAGGTGCAGCTTCGCCCCTGGGTCAATATATGTTGGTAAAATAATCTTGGTCATTAGCGGTAATTTTGTTGTTAGGAAAGATGTTCGACAATCATACATTTTCAATAGATAAACATATTATATAAATAAATTCATACTTGAAACAAAAGACACGCAAATGTATGGCATTGAACAGTATAAATGTACATTTATATTCATTAAATTTGCTAGATCCGCTCGTATACCAATTGGAATGTTACGGAATGTGTAACAATAATACTTTGAAAAGGTGGCTTGAGGGAAAAAAAAATAGTGCTAGTGTTTATATAGATTGGTTCTTAGTTTTATACTACCTCTTATTTTTAATATATGTCGTTTTGAGAAGTTGCACATTTTAATTAAGAATATTTTTTTGTCAATAATAACCTTATTTAATGAAGATAGAAATGCATGTTTTGAGAAAAAGTGAAGAGTGAATATGAAAAGACGTAATGTATTTATTAGCTAAATGAGGGTAATAATGGAAAAATATATACAAAAGATCCAAAATGATACTACCTCCTATTTTTTTTTAAATGTCATTTTGGCTTTATCAACAATTAGCTAAATAAATGTCGTTTTGGATCTTTTGTTCATATTTTTCCATTATTACCCTCATATAACTAATAAATACACTACGACTTTTCATATTCAGTCTTCATCTATTCTCCAAACATTAATCTCTATCATCATTAATGAGGGTTATAATTGGTAAAAAGAAAATTCTTAATTATTGTGCAAGTTCTCAAAACGACATTATTGAAAATAGGAGGAAATATTTATTTATTAGATAATTGATAAAACTAGAATGACATTTAAAAAAAAAAAAATAGGAAGGAATATTATTTTTGGCTCGAGCTAACTATTATTCTTGAAATTAATGAGGCGCAGAAATGCACAAGTTAAAATCTCGAAGCTTTAGGGGTAATAAGTAGAGCTTGTCTTGTTGCTAATTAAAAGTTGAATCATTGTGAGCATTGGGGTTGCTGTCTAGCTTTAAATAAAATAAAAGAGTGAAATTCTTGAAAGTACAAATTCAGAAAAAGTAACATTAGGGAGGTCTTATTTTATTACTTTATCAGCTGTGCGTCGTTTATTTTGTTTTTCTTCGTGTTTATTCTGTTTAGTCCAGTGATGTCTGGTTTTAGTTTCCGTTATAGAGTTTTATTTTGGTAGTGTTCGTCTCTTAAATGGAGTTTATACCCCTAATTATGTGTGCTTATAAAGGGGATGGCTCTACACATTATCCTGATGTCAGTGTATTTGGTTGTACTCTTTTACATTTTTAAGTTATTAATATATTTGTCGTTGAAAAAAAAAAGAAGCAAAAGTAACTTTTAGTTTTACCAACTGCAATAAATGCCTAATAATTTAAAGAATCATGCAATTATTATCCAAAATTGACCAAACTCGTAGGAAATCAAATGAAAATTGCACAATCACCCCGACTAAACTTATGGGCACCATAATATGGTGCCACATGTGGTGTCATAGAATTTCTGGACATACACATGGTAAAAAAAAATTTCAACTCATGACAACCAGTAACTTTTGAGCGGTGACAAAAGTAGTCATCAATATTTGTAAATATACTTTTTTCTTTATCAAAATATTTGTAAATATACTTAATAACCAATAACTAATAAAATCACTCAAAAGTAACACTCCCCACCCAAAAAAAAAATAAAAATAAAAAAGTTACAAGTTAGTTTTTACAAATTACTGCAAAATTTGGGCCAATTTACAGTACAATTTACAATAATCTATCTTTTATAGGTTCAAACTTCCGATCAACGTTTAATCAAACAAACCATAAAGCAAATTAAATACCAACATATAATCTTCATGTGGCCACCATTTTCTCGGCTAACTCATCAATTGCAATCAATGTATTATGTATAATCAATCGAACCTTAAAGCAAAAGAGAAGCATATATAATCTTCATGTGGCTACGCACTACAAGAAAAACTGCATTTGGCGACACTTATTAATGACGCTTATTGGCGAGTTGTGTTGCTAAATTTGATGTCAGAAAAAAATAAGCGTCAGTAAACAAAAAAATAAGCGTCGCCAAATGCAGTTTTTTCTTGTAGTGATATACCCTTTTCTCGGCTAACTCATCAATACCAAGCATATATAATCTTCATGTGGCTACACTTTATTATTCATTAGAAGCATTAATTTTCCAAACAAATTTTTTTAGCACAAATTACTATGTTAGAGGTCTTGCCGTCGTCGTCAGATAAGTCGATCAATTTTACCTTTTATGACAAACAGTTCTGTTATTGAACTATCGGATGACATGACTTATAGTGCCATCCACACTTATTCACAAATAGTGTACTGACAAGTGTCCTATAATAAATACACTTTGGACAAGTATCAATACATTAAGTGATGAATTGCTCCATAAAAGAAAAACCATCCGATGGCTCCATAGAATTTTTATTATCTCAAATCAGTAATGCTCCCCTATTCACGGTAGACAAATGTTAATATGCCTACCGCTTATGTGGCATGCACACATTTGTGATGTATTTTTTTTGAACATATTAACATCACCAATGTGTGCATGCCACATAACCGATGAGCATATTAACATGTGCCGCCACCGTAGGTAGAGGAGTATTATCTTATAACAAATATGCATACTTTTATACTATGAAATGTCATATTTTATCTAACATGCATAAAATGGGAAAT